CACACCTGCGGCCTCAGCAAGACCACCACCACAAGGCAGGAGTGCCAGGACCAGCACCTGGGGGCCCTGTGAGCCCTGCACCGCACCATCCAGGCCTGGATGCAGGAGGACCTGCAGCTCCGCCGGGAGCAGCTCGCTCAGGACCGTGCCATGTACTCAAACCTGCAGGCCCTGCTACAGAGCGTTCTATGCCTGCTGCCCCCGCAGCTACTGTTCCTCCTCCCACTCCTGCCCCTCTCCCACCTCCTCCTCAACCCCCACACCCTCCTCCTTGATCTCCACACCCTCCTCCCCATCCCACCGCACCCGCCATGCTGGGAGACACATGGCCCAACAAGACCCACACCCCTGAGCCCTGAGTTTCCCCTCCCCCTTCTTCGCCTTGCTTCGCCCTTCCAGCTCCCTCCTCCCAGGTCTCCCCCTCCCTTCTCTCACCCTCTCTCCTCCCCTCTCCCACCTCCTTTCCCCAGTCTCCCCAAAGTTTCATTCCCCCTCCCCAGTTGTGTTAAATATGCTGGGAGACACATGGCCCAACAAGACCCACACCCCTGAGCCCTGAGTTTCCCCTCCCCCTTCTTCGCCTTGCTTCGCCCTTCCAGCTCCCTCCTCCCAGGTCTCCCCCTCCCTTCTCTCACCCTCTCTCCTCCCCTCTCCCACCTCCTTTCCCCAGTCTCCCCAAAGTTTCATTCCCCCTCCCCAGTTGTGTTAAATGAAGACAGTTTCTATTTTTGAAAATACGTGTATTTTATTTGACATCAGGAAGGGGAGGCTAGGGAAGGGTAAGTGGAAGGACAAGAGGGGAATGGGGCACAAGCTCCCAGTGGGGCAGACCGGGGAGACTGTTAGCACTCCTCAGGGTGGCAGCTCTCCCGCAGGGACCCCTGGATCCTGACAGCCCCTCGGTGGTGCTCCCGGATGGCAGCCTGCAGACAGTGTAGCCAGGCTGCCGGTAACATGTTCACAAGATGCAGAAGAGTCCCCACGGGCAGGTCTGGTTCCATGTTGCAGAGTGCCGTGGTGTCCCGAGTGAGGGCAAGCAGAGTACTCCGAGACACAAATGCTTTGTTGTCCCTCAGCAAGGTAGATCAGCAAGCACAGAAACCTGAGAACTGTCTGTCCGGGATGGGGGGTCGGGTCCCTTTAAGCACAGACCTCGGATAGCCAGAGGCAGCAGACCCACACACTAAGTCTGACCCTGATCCCTGCTGGCACTGGTTCTGGCCAGCCTTACCTTCGATTCAGGGTCCACTCAATGTGGACGTGCTATTTTGAATTAGTTTGTGTCTAGATGCGTTATTTCGAATTAACTAATTTGAAATAAGTTAATTTGAAATAGCGCTGTAGTGTAGACATACCCTTGGAGAGCAAGGGTACGTCAGACTACATGGCTCCGTTGATGGAGCCATGTAGTAAAGTAGTTTTCTCGGCATAGTCAAAGAAGCGGGGATTTAAAGAATCCTCTCTTCATTAAAATTAAAATGGCTGCCACACTGTGCCAACGATCAGCTGATCTAGCATAGCGCAGCAGTCTAGACACGGTGCAGTCGACAAGAGAAGACTTTGTCAACCTCTCCGGTAAACCTTGTTTCACGAGGCATACTGGAGTGGTCGACAAAGTCTTCCCTTGTCGACCACGCCGCGTCTAGGCTGCCGTGCTGTGCCAGATTAGCTGATCATCGGCACAGCGCAGCAGCCATTTTTATTTTTATGAAAGTCCCTTCCTTATGTGACCTTGTTCTGAATCACAAAGAACAAATCACAGCAGACTAAGCCGATAGCTTTCTTTGATAGAATACTTAAGGGGGTAGCCAAGTTCATCTGTACAGGATAAACTTAAAAAACAACAAATGGTCTGGTAGCACTTTATAGACTAACAATACATGTAGATGGTATCATGAGCTTTCGTGGGCACAGCCCTCCTTGCTCTCCAACGAGTCTTCTGGATAAGGGAGAAGTGGTGGATGTGGTATACCTAGACTTTAGTAAGGCATTTGATACGGTCTCGCATGATATTCTTATCAATAAACTAGGCAAGTACAACTTAGATGGGGCTATTATAAGGTGGGTGCATAACTGGATGGATAACCGTACTCAAAGAGTAGTTATTAATGGTTCACAATCCTGCTGGAAAGGTATAACAAGTGGGGTTCCGCAGGGGTTTGTTTTGGGACCGGCTCTGTTCAATATCTTCATCAACAATTTAGATATTGGCATAGAAAGTACGCTAATTAAGTATGCAGATGATACCAAGCTGGGAGGGGTTGCGACTGCTCTAGGGGATAGGGTCGTAATTCAAAATGATCTGGACAAATTGGAGAAATGGTCTGAGGTAAACAGGATTAAGTTTAATAAAGACAAATGCAAAGTGCTCCACTTAGGAAGGAATAATCAGTTTCACACATACAGAATGGGAAGCGACTGTCTGGGAAGGAGTACGGCAGAAAGGGATCTAGGGGTTATAGTGGACCACAAGCTGAATATGAATCAGCAGTGTGATGCTGTTGCAAAAAAAGCAAACATGATTCTGGGATGTATTAACAGGTGTGTTGTGAGCAAG